TTGCCTTCCACATGAATGATCACAGCTCTCAGAACTAGCAGATTGGTGGCTGCTGGTAACGCCGGGCTTTTGAGTCAAGTGAAAGGGCCAGTGAATTGATTACATATTCTTTATTCTATCACAAGTCCTACTTATTAAGGGCTCTTACAATATCTGGCACTATTTTAGGCATTTTGTGATGGCCCTACATCTGAGTCTTATGTAGCAATTCAAAGAGCTATTCAATCCCTTGTTACAGCCAAACCCCTTGCCAGCAAGCCATGCCTTGACGACATTATGTACTTATTGGCAGATGGAGTTTGGGGAGTTCTGTCAAATTGTGAAGGCAAAAGCACAGAGACCCAGTAGGGCAGAGCTAAGGTAGAAAAACAGATAAATATGTCTCAAAGGCAGCAGGGTAGGGTTAGGACAAGCTAAAAAACATCTACAAATTGGGAGATTCTGGATTTATACAAGAGTCTGAGTTTCTCATTACTAAAGAGTTATAGGGATACTTTATTTAAAAAAAAAAAGTAACCCTCCCTTTCCCCCCCGAAAAAAAGCAGGTAATTTTACTCTAAATTCAGAGTCTAAGCTTTTGTAGATATTTCTAAACAATTTGTGTTTTAGTTGGCTTTCCAGGCAGATATCTTAGTCGACCCGTCACGTTCACTTAATCTTGTATTGATTTTCGAAGAAACTTTCTGTTTCTATGAGTACCCTAATCAATTAACTTATTGTAAGTAGCAAGACAATTTTCTATTTTTCTTTTCTATCAAATAAAGCTGAATACTTTCTTAATTTTTTCTTTTTTTTTTCTGTTTGCCACCCTGAATATTTCCTTTCCACAAAAAAAAAAAAAAAAAAGTCTGACGTGCCTTACCTATCAAGGAAATACATTTTGTTGGTAAAAATAGTTGCTGTCTTTCATATTTGAAAACATTTGAAGATTTTTGCACAGAGAAAGCATATAAACTTGCCTTGGACCAATATTATGAATGGCTTATCACTTTGTTGTTATATTAATAAAAGTTTTCTTTGGTGATCAGCAAAGTGGCTTGCCCTTGGCTTTCATGCTTTATCCTGGAGAACTGGGAGGCTCACAGTAACTTAAAGAGATGGCTCACTGGGAAAGAACATGGTTCTGCCACACAGTGTCAAAAAAGTCCAAAGCCACAGGCCAGCCATTTGTGATGTCTTTAGTTAAAATTGCACTGTCTATTCCAATAAATAAATTTCAACTATATTAATATGTGAGAATTTGAGTATTAGTGGGAGAAGTTACTCTGATCTGAGCCTACCTACTATTTCTTAGAGACAGACCTGGAAACAATAGAAGATTCACGAAAGACATTGGCCTTTGGAGTCAGACAACCAGGACTCAAGCCTTGAGGTCAGCTGAGAAAATTTGATTAAGCATCTTAAACTCCTTGAAGTTTCATTTCCTATCCTATAAAATGTTACTATTACAATTATTTCAAAGGTGGGATGGGATTCTCCAGATCTAACTTCTCTTTCCTTTGATCTAAGTCAATTCATTTATCCAAAGGATGTTTCCAAATCAGAGAAGTGATTAGGACGCTTTCCTGTCCCAAAACTCCCTATATTTGGAGAGCACAAGCCACACCATATAGTATGCAGTCTTTTATGCCATATAGTCAGGGCGCAGCCTGCCTTTCCAGCCTCATCTCTGGTTATTCTCCTCAATTCATTTCCCATTCTAGCCATGTCAATACAGATTCATCCTGTGTTTTCAGCCCCCTATAGCTGCATGTTTGTTCAGAGTACTTCCCCAATGTTGCTCTGATCAATATGTCCTTCCTGTTTTTGTCCACTTAGCAAACTTTCGCTCAACTTTCAAAGCCAAGGATATCTCCACAATCCCCACCTTTCCAGCTATGCCTAGAGCTTCTTCCAAGAGAAACAAAGATTAAATTTCACCAGGTGAAACAATCTCATTCTTTGCTTCTAAAATGAAAAATGTATTTTATTTGCCACCCAACATAAATATATCTAGATGCTATTTAACCACAGAAAAATTGTAGAAAAGAATGCAGTCTGTGTATCTAAAGTCTGAGCACCAAAAAATACTATGATATTATTCAGATTTCCAAAGTCAGTCAACTTTAATTCATCACAGTTTATGTAGTCACTGACTTGTGAGAAAGGCAGCGCACATCCAGAAAAATATGCCACCCGAAAAATGAGCTGATACACATCAATTACTTTAATCATTGATATTACCTGCTAGGTACAAGATGTATCATTTCTAATATAATAACACTTGAAAATTGGTATAAATGAGTTGACTGAGATTCAAACAAGTGCCCAGGTATTTGATGCATGGCAGGGTTGCCATCCAAATCCTGTTCTGTCTGACTCTAGAACCTTTTTTATTTCTACCTTTCCACATTGTCCCTTAATTGATCTTATGCTACATTCATGTATGAATATATATAACAATGGTTCATGTATCTTTATACAAGGTATAGCGTGCTATCTCTAGCCAGGTCACTTTAAATGCTCTTTTGCTTAAGAAAAAAAAAACGTAGCTTATGATGTGGATTGATAGGTTACAGCCAACTCTAGAGGAAGAGAGAAAAGGAATCTTCAAAACAGAGTTACATCCCATTCATAATGCATATAAGTTTCCTCTCTGGCTGCTAGACTGGTGGCCTTTCTTATTTATGGTTCAATTCCCTATAATTTTTTTTAACTTTGTCTAAATAAAGGTGACATGATAGCAGAATTATGGCATAAGTTCTAATTGACTTATTTAAAATCTTCTCATTTCTTCATTTTCCTGACTAACTGGAAGGGATTTATTACTGTTGTGGTGGTGGTCTTGGCATGGTGGTGGCTGTGTTTAGCAACCTAAAACTGTGTATGTATCTTTACTTCAAACATTTTGTGATCTTATGATGATATTGAAAAAAAATGTTTATTCATATTTTGAATGAAATATATAGTGGTACACAATATTTCTCACATAGCAAATGCAAAGTAAAACAGTGACTTGATTTAAAAAGTCAGAAAGTGTTACTTCAATACAAGAGTAAATATGAGATCATGCGTGTCACAACGGAACATTTCTAGCAATCCTATATTCTCATTCAGAATTCCATTGTTTTTAGATACACATATAGTAGACACAGACACAGATACAGACACAGACGTAGGTATAGATACAACTATATAGCATTTAAAAGTCAATTTGAACTGAAAATAAAAACGAGTTTAAAGGTTAGTAACACATCAAATCTATTCCCAGGAAGAGCTTCCTCCTCTTAAGTGGCTTCTTAATTGCAAATCAGGAGGAATCAACCCTGCTTACTCTGTCTTGTGTTCTGGGAAAAAGGAGAAAGGGGCTGAGATATTTGTGGGGAACAGAGAGAAGGCAGCTCCAAATGTGCAGCCAGAACAGGTCCATACAGGTATGGGGATTATTTCCCTCACTAGACAATAAGCACAGAGGTTTTCTCTGAGGGTAGCTCCTGTGGTGTTCACATGTAGCACTTAAAGAACTTCTGATAGTAGTTACAGCTAACAAGGAAGCTCCCAAACACCTCCAAGTTGTTAGTTTGTTCTCCTGCGATGACTTATCACAGTATTATTTAAAAACTCCATAAAGTAGGTTGGAAAGTAGCAAGATACTGAGTCTATTCTTGAAGAGTTTTTTATTAAATTTCTTGGGAAAAAATATGAGTTCTCCAGTCCTTCATGAGCTGAAGGCCTAGCCTAGCTCCAGAGCAAAGAGAAGACACAGGTTAAATAGGGACAACAATTGTAAAAGGCTAGATTACCATTCTGTGTTAGGTAACATAGTGGGTGGTAACCATTCTTGTTCACAACTGAAGAACACCGTATACATGCTGAAAATAGGGCAGAGCTAGGACTGATTCTGTATAATATACACATTTCTAAACATGCATTATCTTATGCTGTCTACCATCTTGTATTAACTGTCCCTGTGGAGGTTTCTAAAAAGCATTGTTTAAGATAAGACAGAGCAAGGCTGTCTCACCAAGAGCAAGTCAGGAAGCCTACATCAGGAAAAACCTATGTGGAGAAGAAACATCAGTGTGTCTTAATAAGTCCAGAGGCAGAAATCAAAGATTTCCAGCACCTGGAAAAGTTGCCCACTTTTAAGAGGTCAGCAGTCATCAATTTAGGTGTGGATACATGCAGTCAGAAATTACTAATGAGTAAAAATCTAGATGACTTGGGCTTACTCAACATTGATGCCCCGGTCTAATGAATGACATCACTCAAGGACTAACTTGCAAATATTTTTAGAAGTTTAAAACCAATTCCATAAGTATTGTACACAAAGTAGCATAAAGCAAAGAGAGAGAATAGAAGGACACCCTGGAAGTTAAAAGCAACTTGACAATAGCAGGTTTATGACAGACCAATAAATAATAATATATTTCCCATCTGCTAATTCCCAAGCAGTTAAACATTATTCACTGGAAGAAGCACTATTACTATATAAATTCCATGTGACAGCCCCTGCCACTCACAAAAAGACCCAATGAAGTCTAAAGAAAATTTCAGAGAGATATCTTTGTATCTTAGAGACCAAAAAACATATTGATTGACTTTCCAACAGTTGAACATATTGCTGATCATATCCCAAATTCACCAGGTTAAATGAAATTATGAAGCAAGTATTTAGCTAATAACTATGTACAGAAAAGAGAAACAAAAACAAGCCTAAATAACTAATCATTACAATCTAAAAAATACTGCTTGTTCTGATTTTCAAGATTAAAAATCTCAGCTCATTACCTGCATTTATGTTTAGACAGGGAGCACTGTACTAGTGTCACAAACTCTCTTCCTTCAGCGTTTCTTCTATAATCCTTTCTTCAGATAATATTTTAATGTTTGTGCTCAACAACTACAATTTTTTTTTTGTTTTTGTTTTTCTGAAAGTAAGACATTTTGTCATTCTAACACATTAGACAAGAGAAGTCAAACAGAAGAGACCAAGGAAGTAGGTAATTTGCATATCCTACCTGCAGGCCTTCAATAGCTAATCGCAGCATACTTGGTGTGAGTTTAGAGGCTTGCTTGAAAGTGAAGTTACTCCAGTCTATGATCAAAACAAACCCATTCACTTGAAGCTCAGGATCTTCAATCATGGCTTCTAAAGAAAGTAAGATGGCACGCAAAATGTCCACCAGTGTGTACCTATCAGCAACAGAAAAGTACTAAATTAGGTCTGACAACTATTTTTATAAAAAACTATAAAATATTTTCTAGTACACTAAAAATTCACTTCAAAATACCTTCAGAATCTTAAGGAAATAATTTTGTTTAAAAAACTATTTTAGGAAGAGGTTTAATTTATATGTACTCCCAGAACATAATCGAATGTAACATGTATTCTGCCCAAACAAATGGCAATGCTTTCTCACATTTTATCATCATTTAGTTTACCTCCAGGCCTTCTAATGATTTTCTAAAATCTCATTCAACTAACCCAAAATTAAACATTGCACTTTTTAAGTGTTTCAAAAATGCCCTCAGTAATATTGACATTTAATTTTTTCATATTTGAAAAAACTGAGAATGAGATTTGAGTGAGTCTCATTAATAAATGAAAACACTGTACATGACAGCTATGAATAAAAGTTACTCAATTCAAATGACTTGTATTGAGTTTGTATCATAAAGAAAAGGAAAGGTGGGAGGGATAGAAAGAGAAGGAGATAAATATAAATAAAAGTGGAAAAATCATGGAAATTTACCTACAATAATACAAGCCATCTTAACTCAAGGGTTGGATTTTGTTTTGTTTTGTTTTCTGCTTTTTACCTTAGCACAGTTCCTGGAACGTTCCAGTAACCCAATAAATGCTCCTTATGTTACTGTAAAAGGGACTTGACTAGAGTAGAAAGACACTGGTTGGAGATTAAGACACCGCTTCAGTGAAGGCAATGGAACTAAGAACAAAAGTAAGAAGCCAAATTTGAGTGGCATTTTAGACAATCTTGCTATACTGTGACAATGTGAGGACTGAAATTAGGGAAGTGTAAAAAATGACACATATTTTAGCTTCAGAGCCTGAATACATAGTAAAATTTTTAATCAATATCAATAATGAAAAAATAGGATACTGTTGGAAATGGTTGGAAATACAAAGTTTTGAACAGAACTTATTGTATTTGAGAAACATGCAGTATACCCAGAGAGGTATATCAAGCAAGATTCTGAAAAAAATGGATCCTGAACTCAGGGGAGAGCTCAAAACTGAAAATTGTGGAATTAAAAGCATATGGACCCTAAGTTCAAGGAAGCGAAGGAGGTAATGAAGTCAGAGTTGAGAGATACATCAGATAATTATTCTAAAAAGGGAATCTCTAGAAATCCCAGCACTTTAAGAGGAGTTAGAAAATTTATGGAAGATGTTAATAATTTCAATTTTTAAACACCTTGCATTTTAAGTTTTTTTTTCTCGTAAGACATTCAGGGGAGATTTCAGGAACAGCTAGAGAAAGAGATCTGGACCTCAGGGAAGAGGCAGGATGGGGAGGGGAGTGGATTAGGAGTCAAAATCATTCCCATTTATTGGAAATGATGAGTTCGTTAGGAAGGCAGTATGATACAGTGAAGATATATGAGGGAGTAGGTCTATTTTTACTTCTAAAAACACTTGGATGTGCTAGGAGACAGCATAGTAGTTCAGAAAGGAAAGAATAACATTGGAACTTCAGGCAATTTCTCACCATTTCAGGATCTCATTTCTTCACCTGTAAAATCAGCAGTTTGGAACAGAATCTTGTTTAGAATCCTAGCATTAATCAAGCACAGGGCATGGTGTCAGAAGACTTCAAGATGCAATCTCTGCCCAATGCCTCATTAGCCATATGGTCCTGGATATGTCGCTGATTTATAATTCTGAGGATCACTTAACTGTCCCTATCTCACGCTATTCTCATCTCATTGGCCATGGTTGGGGGAGGGTTGGGGGCAGCACCAGAGAATCATCAAAGAGGTGACTCAAGTGAAAACATTTGTACAATTTGGCACAATTCTAGGTATAAACAGGTGTTCAGTAAATGTTGGTTGGAATACACACATAGCATACTTTTTGTTAGAATGATAAGCATAGATATAGTGTACTAGGCAGAGTGTAAATCAGAAGTGATCATCTTTAGGATAGCCTATTACTATCATAAAAGGCAAAAGTCAAAAGGCTTAGGGATACAGCATCCAAAAAACTACCTGAATATATAAATAATAAAATTTTTTATAGACCTCTACTATGTATTTGTTATTAAATCTCTGAAGTATGTGTGGCTGAACACCTTTGAAAGTCATTTTATGGCTGACCTACCTCCATTTTAAACATAATGACCTGACACACTGTCAGGACCTGAAGCCTATAAACATAGGCACTGGAAAGTTGGAGCAGGAAGACCATATTTCTGGTTGAAATTCAGACCCCCACCAAAAAAAAAAAATAAAAAATAAGTTTTAGTTTCTGAAATTCATAATAATATCATGGTAAAGAAAATTAGGGATTCGAAAAGTCCGACTTCAAAGGTTTCCCTCATTATGAGATTGACCATTCTTATGTTATCCATAAGAAATTAAATAGCATTAATACCAAAATGCCATTAAATAAAATGTAGATTTGAAATCAGCTTTGGAAGGATGATACATTGTATGTAATAAAAATTAATCAAAGTACCAGTACAGACTGAAAACAAGAGGCAATGTGTTTTAAATAACACACTTGAAGTATGGTTCTCCTAAACTGTTTCAAAATCAAGATAAACGTTGATACACATATCATTATTCCAAAGGAAATAATATAAGGCAAATCCCAAAATCAGCAATGAAGAAAAGCAGGTTTGCAAAATTTTCAAGACTAAGTCTAACCACGTTTTTTGAATTCAATATCTGGCTCCAGGAAGAGAATCAAATGATTTTTATAAAAATCATATTAATTTAGAAGTTTAGAAAAATAAACATAAAAATATAGTAGCTAACTCCATTCAATGGGCAGGTCAAAACCACTCTTGACTTAATTCCAGTCCCCTATTGTCAAACATCTCACATTATTACCATTAGCAGCTCAGCACGCTATTCCTCAGCAGAACAGGACTACACAGGATCTTGCCAGAATCTGTAAAATATCTTCCAAAGAAATGTAGCATCTATGAATTTTATCTCTTCAGGACTCCTGCCATATTCTCCTTTTTAAAATTATTGTAACTGTTATAATTTCAAATTAGAGGTTGCCACAATGAAATACTCTACTTGTTCATGTTTGGGGTTTACATTGAAATTGTGTGAGTTCCACCATAGCTATTCTTCTCTTGTATATGCTGAAAGAAAGCTATAAATCAAAACTACCACATTATTGCAGCTCTTGACTCCTGATTGTGCTTCTCAAAATAGCATTAAGTAAAATTTGAATTTGTGAAAAGAATGCTGTGTAGCATGTAGTAAGAAGAAATCATGACACCAATAAAAAATTTTACAACTGACACCGGACTATGTAGAACACTGCTCTTGGAAAGAATCAAAGCTGCTAGAACACATAGACAACATATGGAGAAGACTTTAATATCCGTAGCAACTATGTACTACCTGTGCAATCAGAAGGAAAACATCTAATCCTTCTTGAAATTTTTCAGTTATGAAATCGGTCTTCCTTGCAGAGTAGGATATATACTCATGAATTAATTATTTGGGGCATGTTTATGTAACTTAAAAGCCTTTTATAACGTAAAGCTCACAGCTATTAACAAATACAAAATAAAATGCGAATCCCTGATTATTTGTCTAATCTTAGCTTGTTCTCATACACCTTGAAGTTACTGAACTTTGCTAAGCCTCCATTTTCTCTTTTAAAAATGGTGATAATAATAGTTACATCATAGGACAGAATGTAAAATACTTAGCCCAATGGGTAGTACATAGCAAACAATAAATGTTAATTTCTACGACTTCTACATTTGTATTACTTTTGCTCTTTCAACAATCACATATTCTATACTTGCTTTTTGTACTTTTTAGTCACTTAATCTTAACTTCATAGAATTGTTGTGAGGACAAAATGAAACAAAATAATATATGTAAAGTTTTTAACAGTACTTGACATAGAATAGAAACCATAAATATTTGCTGCAATCATTGCTGTTGAAACTCTTCTATTTGGTTCTGTGATGCTGCATTGAACATTCTCTCCTTCCACTTTTCTGGTCACTGTATTATCTTTCATGTTTGGTTCCCTGCTGCAATTATCCAAATGTAGAAATAAGACTTTATTCCCCTGCTGTCATCATATAGTATCTCCTGGAGTTACCGAATCATGCACTCATCCCCTTGGTCAATACATTGGTGATGGCTCGATATCCACAGAGCTAGTGTCAGTCCTGTGCAACATCCTCATCTTTCTAGTTGCCATCTGAACATTAGCACCTTAGTGACTCCTTGTTACCTGAAATATATTAGTGTAACTCAATTTAGTGTCTCCCATTTTCCTCTGGGATTGCCTACATTAATCAATTTATGAAGAATCATTCTCAGATATTCCCTTTCCTTCTCCCTCTACATTTATTCACCAAGTCCTACATTTATTCACCAAGTTTTTTGGGTTTTTTTGTCTTTTATATATGTACACGTCTTTGGCATCTAACTCTTTCTACTAGAGTCCTAGCTTTATTTCCTAATATAATAGCACCTGTGTTTCTTTTTCTTTCTCTCCCATCTTTCTCTTCCAGAAATCTTGCCTACCCTCTATTGTGCAATAAATTGTCCTAAAACATTAATTGGCCTGAAAAATTGTCCTGCACACAACACTGTTCCCCCATGGCTCTTTCAAAACTGCACCATTCCCTTAATAACCATACTTCTCGTTTTGTACACCCGTGCATAGGCTCACCCCAACCACCAAGGTCTTGTCATATTCAACCCCCAACAATCTGGTACACTCTGATGCTTTATCTTCACTTAAATCTAGGGGAACACTCCCCTTCCTTTTCACCTCACCTAAGTTCTACCCTTCTCTGGGCCTACAACCAGCTTGCCCTGCTCTTCAAAATTGTCTACTTGCTGGAGACCTCAGCGCCCTTTCTCTCATATTCTGAAATTCTGGTGCTTCAGTGTTTGTTCTATGGCCCCAGACATATAAACTTAGCTTAAAAACTCTTTCACTGTTTGATACCACTTTCTAT